GTGTTCTCTGCAATGCCAGGCACTGCATAAACAGAACAAAAAGATGATCTGGCCTCAAAGGGTTCAATGTCCCAGTTCACCTGCAGGCACAGGATGGTGATTTACTCTACAGCTCATTAGTTCTGCTTTAGATAGAAGTCATGAGGATAAAGCAGAAATACAGATTGATGTTTTGTTTTGGACAAAGTGATTCATCTGCATAATGGAGACTGTTAAGCAACTAGTAGTCATAGATGCTGATGTCCAGATATTCACAGCAGAAGAGAAGGTGTTCAAGTGCAGATGTGTAGTTTTACACATGTATTTCATCTTCCATGAGCAAGTGGTGGTTGAGGAATTTTTCTCACTGATGTACAAGGATGATAAGTTATGGCATTAGGGATTACTGTCCCCCATTACTGTAATTTAATAGGTGAGGACATCTCATTTCCATATCAGCATAATAGAGATGGGATAAAGCTGCTAATAGAGGAAGTGGCTGTGGAAATACTTTGGGGTATAGCTCTACTGGTTTCTGAAACAGATATTTCTGTCATGAGCATAGTAGCAAATATCTCTAGTACTGGTAAGAAGATGGCAGAGAAAGTAGATCTGTATTGGCTATTTTAGTTAGGGTGATAAGCAAGTGGGGTGCAATACAGCAGCTTCATGTATCTGGAGTTTTTCAAGGTTTATAGAAATGTCTGATGTTATTTTATTTATTGCTAATGTAAACAGACTTTAACGCTCATCTCCCCATCTCTGCTTCAATGCAGAAGCATCTCAACTAACGGACTCAGAAGACAAAATCTCCTGAGTGCCCTGTCTGCTACAGGTAGATACACATATGAAAAACCCCAAATAATATTTTTTTAAAAGGCTATCTATAAAGTACTATGATAAAAATATAGTATTTCTGACATCTTAGTTCCTGGATGGTCAAAATACAAAGACACTAAACATCCAGTGGCTGAGAGCTCATGTTGGTGTTGTCTCTCCATAACCAACCCTGTTTGACTGCACCATTGCTGAGAACATCGCGTATGGAGGTCACAGTCAGCAGGTGTCATCTGAGGAAATTGTTAATGCAGCAAAAGAAGCCAACATTCATTCGTTCATTGAACCTCTGCCAAAGTTAATTAGGCTCTCATTTCAACCTGGGAAAGGAAAACAGAGTGTCTTTTTATGCTTTCCTAAACAAACACATGTTAAAAGTTTTTTTTCCCCTGACTTACTGAATTAGACAATGAAAATTGGGGTTTCTCCTCCACGCCCACCTCAAGGATCTGAAAGACAAGGAGAGAGCTGGGAAGGTGACAGTGGCTGTCAGGGCTTGCTTAGTCCTATTGCTGCAGATGCCTGAATGGCAGGTGCCTTCATTCCTGCAGGAGAAGCCCCTGTTAATAACATGAACTGGATGATACTGATAACTCAGGCATGTCACTCAAGATGGAAGAGCAACTGACAGGCAGAAAGTACTGAAAAAAGAGGATGGGCACTTCCTTTCAGCTAAGTGAAAGCACCAGAAAAATGCTAAGGCAGCCCAAGGAGTGGTCTCCCCTTTTGCACAGCTCATTAGCCAGTTGTGTAAAGTCACACAAAGAGTTGGCTGGCAGAAATCCACCATCCTGTTGCCACTTCCTTCTCTCCCTTTTCCCTGGTGATAACTCTTGTTACCCTCCTGGTTGCATCTACTGTAACAAACTGTGTCTCCAGCACAGTGGGCCTTTCTGTTGTAAAATAAACAGTTCCTTGGAGGAAAAAGCAGTTTCAGGTTTTCTACATTGGTGTTGAATAATTATGGTAGTTTAAAAATACCCCCCCAAAAAACCCAAACAAACCAAAAACAACACAGCAAAAAAACGAGAAGTTGATCTGCTTATACACCACTGAGCAGCTGCTGGCAGCTGAATGTAAACAAGGATTTTCCTACCTGTTGTCTGAACTGATCAGCTGAAGCTAACAAACACCTACTTGTCAGCTTGCTCTTGTGGGAAATACAAGCTAGGACAAACTTTTCTCAGTCAATAAATTCCCACAGGCTTAGGAGATTGCTGGGTTTTCCCTGCAAAGCCTCATCCTTTAGATGAGAGATGCACATTGCTCCCACAGCAGGTACTCAAGGAGTCTAACAAATGGGGAGGGCTGAGTGAGAATCAAACCTCTCTCGAGTAAATTTGTCAGCTTTAAAACAGGGTGTGAGGCAGATGAAATTTAGAATCTGACTGGATTCTCACTCATGCTAAATCCCTCACAATGTCACCCAGGCTGAGAACTGCAGAGGTTAAAGAGCAGCTGGCTACTTGGCTAGCCTGGTGCTAAGCTGAGCCTTGGGTTTGCCCCCAGCAATATCACAGCCCTCCTCTCACACCCTGTGCTTAGCTTCTCTGCACCTTGGGCCACTGCCCCAGAACAAATTACTGCTCTTACTCAGCATCATTGGGTTTGCTCCACAGTTAAATACACTCAGAAATGTGTTTCTTAGCTCAGCTGCTGTATTACATAGAGCAGGCTTCTCACCTACACCTGTCCTGGTGACTGGGAAAGGGGCTGCCCCCGATTTGTTCCTTGGTGGAAAACTGTCTGAAATGTCACATTCCACAGGATTAGGGTCAATTCCAGGTTTCCATTTGTGCTTACTTTCCATACTTAGAAATAAAGTCCATGTGTGGGAGACAAAGGAAGGCAGCTCCCAAGCAGGCAGAAGCAAAGCATTGCTATGGCCCAAGCTCTTGTACAGCAGCCTGAATCCTGCTGTTAGATGAAGCTGCCTCCACTCTGGATACAGAAAATGAAAAGGTAACATGGCTTTGGAAATGGTGGGAACGGGGATCTGCAAGTTGGCTGGTCATGCTGATGGCTGTGCTATATACACACTATACCATTGAACTGGAAATAGAGCACTACTGAAAAAAGGGAAGAGCTTGTTCATCCATTCAGGTTTCAGGGGCTGTGTTTTTACAGGATGATTGTAACTATATATTCTAACTGGACATTCTGTCCAAACTGCAGTGAGCAATGAGGATTAAGGCGATGAGATGTGCACCAGCAAGACACCAGCAAAGATTGCACAAACAAGGTCTCTGGAAAAAAGAAAGTAGCCATGTCTTATGCAGAAACATGTCAGTGCTCACAGGCAGAAGGATAAGTGATGTGTTCCTCCAGGCCCATTGCACCATTCCAGGTTTGACTGTTAATAAATAGGTTCACGTGCAACACAGAGCAGAGGAAAAAGGACACCTGTTGGGACTGGCAACTGACTCAGTCCCACCAGTGCAGAAACCTGGCTTGTATTCTTGACTTGTCAATGCACCAATGGGTGCAGCCGACTTCTGTAACCCCTGCTTTAGTCTCAGTGGACAAATGGTGCCTCTCCTATGACAATGGGTCTGTGCAGCTTAACCAGCCTGATCTGAAATCTGAGGCCCTACTACATTTTAGTACTTCTGCATTGATTACATTTTCCCAAATCTAAACAGACAAAAAATAACAAAAAATATGTTTAACATTTTATGCTTTAGTCCCACATTGTCCATAGCATAAACTTAGTAAAGCAACTTCAAATATAAAAAAGCTTTACTCCTTACAAGGAAACTACCACACAGCACAAAGCAAGTAGCTCTTACAGTTCCAGACTTCAGTTTTATTTTCTTTGAATACACTTCTAGCTGTTTTCAGTTCCTCTAAGCAAGGCAAAGACTTGCTGCTGAACAGGAAATTCTGCTTACACTGGTGACTCAATGACATTTTCTCAATGATACGAAAAACCAAAACCATTTCAGCAAGCGTATTTCTGCCAGGATGTCTCTGCTCCCAGAAATCCCCACAGAGGCAGGGGTAGGTGTGTGGAAAATAAATGCAAAATTACACCCTTCATCAGATTCAGGCTCTTTCAAATGAGTGTTGAAAGCAACCTTCTTTGTCAGTGTTGCAATTGGATTTACTAACTCAATTGAGGGGTGAAAGGTTGTAACTATCAGACAGAACTTATATTAAAAAAAACTAATAAAAATAATCAGGCATAGCTTGATCCAAATTCCTAATCTATCCCACAGAAATCACAGCATCATAAAACACATGCTCTCATGTTTCTCAAACCCCTCAAAACTACAGAAGAGAAAACAATGAATGGGTGCTTTAGAAACTCCATTTCATCTGTCCCCAAGATCATCTCTTTTTCACCAAGTTTATTTGTTATGAATTAGAGCAACCATAAATCCACCAATACAAAGCTGATTTTTAAAATAATTTTATTTCTAGGACAGGAAAATACAGAGTTGCTCAAACAGAGGAATCAAGTCTTAAAATCCTGAGAACGGTATCAAACTGCATTCAGTGCATACTTTTATTTTGTATTATTAGTGTGAAGCAGCAGAAATTCCCAGTTCACTAGAAGAGAACTCATATGCTGCTTTCTGTCTTTATTATTCAGAACTCCTTTTTCAAAATACTTCAGAGTGTAGTGCTCTCATACTACAGATGTAGTGGGAATGTCCCTATTCATGGTTATGTTTATTTGGTATCATTCCAAGAGCAAAAAACAAAGATACTTATAAAATAGCATACAGTCTGACAGAGGCAGCCCTTCTATTTCATAAACCACTATGAACAGGAAACAGTCACCTAAGAGAATAGTGTGATTACTCTTAAGTGCACAATTAAGTGCTCCACCAGCATAAACATCAGTAGACTACAAAGTATTCTATGTGCTATTACTAAGATCATAAATACAAATCTCCCATAAATTCTCCGCTTCCAACATTTTTTGCATTGTTGAGGCATATTTTAATATTGCATAGTTCTACACAGATAAGGTACTACTGCTTGCATTGTTGTTGCAAATGGCTACACTACTCTTAACTGGATACCACTATCACAGTACATCCCATAAAAATAGGTAGACTTCAAGTAGATCGTTAACTGTCCTAACTCGAGTATAACAGTATTATTGAGTAACATTTCATTCATAAGTACTACAGATAAATCAAGAGCTTGCAAAGGCTTTTACATAATTTTCAACCTTACAGCTGAGCTGCAACTGTTAACTGTAGCATGTCATGAAAACACTGGAACACAGTTCTGCACAACACTTCCGCGTCAGTCTCCGGACACGACTTCCAAGAGGAACAGGTAGCAAGGATCCTACCAATACAGAACACAGTGAAGTTACCATGCTTCCTTGTCATGGTCTATTGATGAAAGTCACACAAATTGCCTTGAAACGTGAAATTACTGACATAAATTCAGAAGCAAAAATTGTTACATAAAAATACTATCTCAACACTCATAAAAGGACTCAGATCTACAGTGCCTCTGTAGGCAATAATGCTGTCAGATCTTGAAACTAACCTCTCTGATTTAAATACCCATAACTACATACACTGTGACATGACTTTTCTGCTTATATTTGAAAATATTGTGAATTATATTACTTCTCTGCAACTAGATAAACCTTTAATGCACATCTTTTTTTCTATTTACCTAGCAAAAGGTAAACCTTGATCTAATTCTATTTATCTTAACAGAGCCATAGCTCAAATTGAATCAAATCTGCATATGTTCCATACTTAAGCTTTGGAAAGAAGTAAACCAAATTAGACCTAAATTCCAAAATAGCAACTTATCTCAACACGTCTAAGAACTTAGATTTGATAAAGAAGCAATAATTTTTGTCCATAAGACAAATCCCACCAGTAAAGCCAAATGTTCCAGCTTTTCCCTGTTACTCAAAGAGGTCTGGCTCCAGCCAAGAGATGTATGCACAATCACCAAGAACAATGGACTGTGTGTTCATCTGTGCTCTCTCTGGTCTCTCTCAGTCAATTACTACTTTTTAAAAAACATCTTTTAATGTTACATTTAATGACCTCTAAAATTAAAGCTTATTTTGAAGAAAGTTAGCTTCTTTCATTCTTCCCTTCTTTTACCTTCCCTACTCTTTGCTTATTGTCAGTATCCAGGTGCTCACTCCACCTCCACTGTTCCTCCTTCCTCTCACACAAGGTTCCCCAAACATTAATGCCTTTATTCTTGTGTACCTCACTTCTTAACCTTTTCTGACATATTCAGCCATGTTTATTGTCTTCTCCTTTCCTTACCTGTCCTCTTGTTTCAGAGACAGAACCATGCTGAAAACATAGGAATTATATCCTTACCTGTCATCTCTGATTGAATAAAAAAAGCCATATCCATGTTGTACCATAGGCACCGCAGATCCATTGAATTTAGTGTAGCCAGTCAGACTAGTTGAAAGAACAAAATTCCCACCTCCTCCACTGTAAAACAAAACAAAACAAAACCAGCACTTGTAAAGAAAATCAAAACGAAGTGAGCTTTACAAAAAAAGACCAAGAAATCACTAGACATCAAGCCAATGTAACAAAGCCCTCGGTATCAAAGGATACAAGCTCCCCAAAGGACAAGAATGCCAGTTACCTAGCTGTGAAGGCCTTATCCACATAAAGTTCTGGCACTGGCAGTCCCTGCTCCTGTGCTATGAGGAGGAGACCAAGAAGATGACGATCAAAGCCTGTCAAATAAATGCAAATACTGAATCACTAATAGCAGGTTTCCCGTTTTTCTGCTTCTTCTGGTCTGGATAGCTGGAAGCTCCAATAGGAGCCAAGGACAAATAAATAACAGAGCCTACTAAAAACCAAAATTCATACTGTAGCATTCAAATATTTATGTATATTTTTGTTCTAAGAGGTTTTCATCACTTTTAGCTTGCAACACTGAACCCGCATGCAAATGAACCAAGTAATATCTACCCAGCACAGTTCCCGTGGAGAATAAAGCCCAAGATTTCCATTCCACCCAAGGAGGAGTTTCCCAAAGTGAAACTGGCCCACTGGCAATAATGTGGACAAGGTAACGAGGAGGCTTTAAGGGTCACAGCTGCCTAGAAAACTCACCAGGTAGAAGGGAGAGAGTACAAAGGTTCATCAGATGATTACTTCCCAGCTAGTCTCTCTCATTCATAGAACAGCCTACCTCAGTAACACAGGTGGGTTAGAACTTTACCCACTTCTCTCCCCTGCCTCAAATGACTGCATTTCTTACTTTCCACCCATGCATGTATTTGATTAGAAAGTATTTTGAAATAATGTCTAGCTGGGCCAAAAAAGTGAACTCATATTCAAAGTAAACATGTCTTTGGGGCACAAGAATGGGTGCAAGGACCAGCTTTTAGTTCCTTTCCCCAAAGTTAAAGAATAAAGTGTTAAGGAGTAGTTTTTACTGGGGTTGAAAACATGAGAACTTTTGATCCTGAAGTACCTTTTCCATTCTCACATTCTTTCCTCATTTTGTTGTGCTTTGCAAAGGCCTTATGCATCAGCTGTATTCGTTGATATGTCTGTGTAAAGTAGAGGAGACAGGTTAGGGAGGAAAAAAGAAACAACCAAAACCAATCCAGATGATTAACACACCAGGAATCACAGATCACAAAGTTTCTCCCTTTCACAGTTTCTAGCAATTTTAGATAAAAGAAAATAGAGGAACTTGAAATGTACATTAGAAGCCTTCTCAAACTCTTTCTCCCAAATACAAATTCCTTTTTCACAAGATCTTGTTCACTTCCCTTATCTCTGTTCAGTTACTCAGATCACTTTTGCACTGAATAATACTCTAAACATCTTGCTTTCCCAAATAAGCTGAAACAATGCAAAGTAGCCACTGTGAACCACATTAATCAAAACCAGAACTTCCCCACGATAGCACTTCTTTAGAAGCACCCCGGCCTTTAGCAGGTGCAGTTACATTTACATGGTCATAATTTTTCATGGGAGGGAGGGAACCCCACAAAAACCACAAATCAAAAAAAGCCCAGAACTCAAAAGAAAAAATCTGTCAAGCAAAAGCAGAAAACAAAAAATATCCTAATTAGAATATAGACAGATGCCAACTGTATTCCTAACTTTTCTCTGCTGATTTAAATACTACTTCCATAACAGTAGTTCTGCCCAATGTCAGGTATTTTTTATTTTATAGTGAAACTTACATAATAAAAACAGAGAGAACAGAATGCAAATACTTCTTCCGCTAAAGGAGGCCTAGAGAAACACCTCTATACATCCAAGATCTTGACTTGTAAGAAGCTAGTTAGATCTAAGATCTTAGCTAATTAGGAAGCACTTTTTATCTTTTTATTCTCCTTTATGAATGTGAAAGAAGGGCAGTAACCACTTGATTTGGATAAAAACCAAGCTACTGAACTCTCAAGAGGCAAAAAAAAAGTTGAGACAGGATTTTTCTGAAGTAACGAACTTTAGGTATTTTCTGGTACTTTAAAATGTATTTTTAAGCATCTTAATTTCAATACTATTGAATAGATCCAGTGCTTTTTAAAGCCCCATAAATCCATAATGAAGTTACAGCAATAGGAAAATATTTGGAGATGCTATTTAAAATGACAAAAAGGCTTCAGTTAGTATTGGAAGTAAAAAACCCTCTATGTATTAGCCATCAAATTCTGAAAACTGAAGAGCAGGGAAATATGAGGAAGCCATATTTGCAATAGCAAAGAAGATCTGAGTAACGGCAGGAAAAGTGAGTTCTAAAGCTGCAGCATGTGCCAAAATAAGCCAGGGAAGACCACAAAAAAATATTTTTGAAGACTATAATTATCAATCACATGTACTTCCTGGCAGCCAGATTCCTGTATGTTTCACAGATGTATTAACAATATAGAACCTCTGAATTTCCCAAAGATACATAGCCTTTTGTCTCACTAATCTTCCTGCTTCATTTCTCAGGCTCTGAGAAACGTGCAGTGAGGACAAAAGAAAGAGCTTTAGTACCATTCTCTATTGGCAAGAAAGTTATGACATGCTTTGCCAGCCAAGCACCAGAGGTTAGTTGCTGGGAGAAGAAAAGGTCATCAGTTCAGCTACTTAGAGCCAAATTCTGGAATACATCCCTCTTGCCATTAGGACACAGATTTCAACCTTGTTCTCAGACTCAGTGATTAGACTGACATGGAATCATAGAATGGTTATGGTTGGAAGAGACCTTAAAGATCATCTGGATCCAACCTCCCTGCTGCAAGCAGGGACACCTCCCACCAAACCAGGCTGCACAAAGCCTCATCCAACCTGGTCTTGAACACCTTCATGGAGGGGGCATCCACAACTTCCCTGGGCAATCTATTCCAGGACCTCACTACTCTCATGGTGAAGAATTTCTTCCGGATGTCTAACATAAATCTCCCCTCTTTCAGTTTAAAACCATTACCCCTTGTCCTATCACTGCCCTCTCTGGCGAAAAGCCCTTTCCCAGATTTCCTGTAGCCCCTTCAGGTACTGGAAGGCCCCTATAAGGTCTCCCCAGAGCCTTTTCTTCTCCAGGCTGAACAGCCCCAACTCCCTCAGCCTGTCTTCATAGCAGAGGTGCTCCAGCCCTTCAATCACCTTCGTGGCCCCTCTCTGGACCCTCTCCAACAGCTCCAGGTCTTTTCTAATTTCTTGTAAAAATTAAAAGAGCTCACTCCACAGCAGAACACACTGGTTCCAACCCAGTCATTTTGAGGTGTGAAAAAATCCACATGAATGTAAGACAATACGCTTACATTCTTGAAACTGAAAGGCAAATAGGGCAGAAAACCAGACAAGCCTGCACGACAGCTCACCTCAGTCACAATCACCAAAGCCAGACTTAAAGCAACCCAACATTTGAAATCTGTCTCACTGGAAACAGGCCAACTCCCATTAATGACACAATAGCAAAATGAGCTTTAGCCAGTTCAAATGAGAGGCCTTCTAAATACATGATGAGTAAGCAGAATGTAAGCTCTTACACTGTCAGAAGGATCCAGCATGGACTTGCACCACTCCACTGCTTCCATAGTGCATGATCTTACGGTCTCTGTGCGGCCGTGATAGAAGCGCCTGGTCATGGCGGTCTCATAACAGCAGCCAGGGCTGGGAAGAAAAGTTATGGACTATCTCATTGACTTAAAAAAACTATATGCTCTCTCAAGGAAAAAAAATAAAAAAATAAGAGTTTTCACTATATATTTCTATTAAGGAAAGCACCTAGTGTCCAAAAAGTCAAAAATTAAGAGACATGCTAGAAATAAGTAGTGTCTCCCAATGCATTTATAAGGACATACTGACCCATCCACATTTTACCTGGAGCATTCCTAGCCCTGTGACAGTCTACCATTTCATATACAGCTTATAGGAAACATGTTTAGAACAGATTCCACAGGCTATTTTAGTCAGACAATTTATTCCAATGTCTAGCAAACTGAGAACTAGCAACCTTTCTTCTGATGAGACAGACACTTCCAGTGACTAAGCATAATGCACATATGACAAAGCTCTCCTCTTCTTGAAACAAGCAGTTTGCCAGGTTGCAGTGTCTCCTAGAAGCCATAACCAGTGCAACTTAGCAAAGAGAAATTTGGGATCGCCAGTTTCAGGAAGAATGCTGACTTTTACAAATAATACAAAATAAAATGACACACCCAGAAATGCAGAATCAGGCATTTGAAGGGTTACTATCTAGCGCTCTATTATTCTGCCCAAATCTTCACATCTAATAGCGCTCAAGAAAGTGAGACACTGAGGTTCATAAGGCTTTTTACATGCTTGGAACACTAACTGTTTTACTGATGGGTGCCACCTGCTACAGACACACCTCTTTTCCATCTGAACAACTGTTTGGCACTAAAGAATCCTGACCCACCACATGCTTGGCATTTGCCCACTTATTTACTTTGTGCAGTCTAAATCCACGTTTTCATGGATTGTCCCCTGCTTTCCATTCCATGATATGTACACACATGATCCCTGTGGGCAAAAGCACACAATTCTTCTGAAGCCAAGAACACAAGCACATGGATTTCAATGGCACGAAGTAAAGCCCTATTCAACTCTTACAGTAAAAAACCTCTTACTTCTTCATCCTTATACTGGCATAGCAAATTACACCATGGCACTGCAAGTCTGCTGCATCATATCTCCAGCTACACCCCTTGGTCCAATAATCTATTTCTTTCTTTTTTAAAAATTTCTAATCTGGGTAATAAGCTTTTCCTACCGTCCATGGCATTTGTAAAAAGCCATCTGAAGGGCAAGTTGTACAAATGTATCAGGATGAAGTTTCTTCTTCTTAATCAATGCCTTGCCAAAGGATGTGAAGGCATAATTCACTAGCTGCAAGTCAGATACCTGTCGTATCAAAGGAGGAAAAGCCACATAAGTCAAGTAATATCACAACTCGGTCCATTTTAAATACAACACACATCATAAACCAGCAAGATAAAACATTTAGTCATGGTATTAAGTCCTTTGATTAATCAATTCATCAGTAACATATTCATCCCTGGAGAGAAATCAGCTGAAACATATGAATAGAATAAAAATTTAAAAACCACAAAACAAAGAGTGACAATTAAGAAAAGCAGCAAGAAATGTCACCTTTTTATAATATAATTCTTTCGTAAGTCCAATTTCATCTTTAAGTTTTTGATCCACTGTGAATACAAGTTCCTCTGGCCACGGAATATCCCTCACTTTATCCGAACCCTGGGAGGATGCAGGCAGAAAGGAGAGAAAACAGAAAATGTTACCTGTAAGAAAAGACACTTGAACTAAATAATTTGAAAGTTTAAAAGATAGATACCTTCCATTTTCCCTCATTTTCAAGAATCTTCTTTTCAATATAAGATAACATGCTAATTAAGGCCATGGCATCAAAAGGAGCGTGCTAGAATCATATAAGACAAGATATGTTATTTGCATAACTACCAGAGGATCAAATAGCTTTTTTTCTTACCCCACTCTTTTCCCTGCAGACCAACATCTTTACTGCACAGTGCTAAACTGGTTTTTCTAGTTCTACAATACATATAAAACTACTGGAAGTTCATTCACTGTTTTGACTGCAGCCAGAGGGGGAGGCACAACACACAACTACTCAAGAGAAGCAGACTTCAGAAGGGCCCATTCTATATCAAATTGAGAAAGACAAGTTTAAAAACACAGCTGTTCAGATACCTAATACCAAGACTTAATTTTAGACCTTCTAGTGCAATGTACTGTTTTTTTTTGTATTTAGAACTCTCTCATTAAATACTTCTAAAAATAAGATTATGATTTCAGAACTCATATTCTTAATTCAAGCATGGTGTAACATTAAACACCGTGAAGGCTTTTGGAAACTTGCCAGACAAGGTGCCTGATAAAGAAAGCTACACTAAGAAGGATCATCCTACCTTTAAAAATAATACTCTAAAAAGGAGAAGCTAGTAAATAAATACTTGAAGTGTTTGTAAGGCAGGCAGGGGGGATTTTTTTCAACTTACATCACAGAATGCGCTACAGGTTCCATTGGAAAAGAATATGTTATTGTAGGATTTATCTCCCCAGCGTACAGTCGGATCACCTGCTATTCCCAGCCTTGTAACCTAAAGCAAAAGTTACACACGGTGGGTTTTCAACAGCACTGAGTACATTGCCAACCACTGTCAGCTCTACTAAGGCTACATTGAGGGTGAGGCTTCTGAAAGTCAAGACCTTTTCAGCCAGTTGAAAATGAAACATGATTATAAGCCTAAATTTTTAAATTAAGAGTGCTAACAAGTTACTGACTGGATTTCTCAGGACCCTGAGAGCAGAGAGGGCTAAAAAGGTTAGGAAGATAGATTTCAGCCATTCCCCCTTCTGATGCCCCAACATTCAAACTATTTAATTAATCCTGTGGATCACTGTGAAGCGTTATCTCCACACTTAGCTGTTTCACATTCTCTGTTCTGAAAGAGTAGGAAGTGCTACTTTACTACAGAAAGAGCATGCACCTATGCAGATGAAATGTTTATATAAACATTACAAGATATGAATTACCAAAAGCCCTTAGCTACCTCAGAATAGTCTTCAGGAGTTGCATGGGGACTAGCATCATCCAGGCTGACCACAAACAAACTTTTCTGAATTTCTTCCAGAAGAGTTAAGTTCTTTGGATCAAGCTCAATCAAATATTGACGTAACTAGAAAGCACAAAAAGCTAAGTTAAAAGATGTATTTCCAGCAATCACAGTGCTTTTCTGAGGAATTAACTGCTAAAGTATTCCCACCTCTGCCCATTTTGTCCTTTCATTGCTTGTTAGGGCTGCCAGTCCCGGTCCATCTGGTTCACTCTGGCATATTTTCTGGATATATGCAAGTTGCCTTTAAGATTTCAAAAACTGAAGTTAACAGAGAACACATGGAGAGAAGACAAATCAATCTTTTTCTCTTTCTTTTTTGCCAAGATGGAATTTTGGTTCCACATTCACAAGTTAATGTGAAGCTTGAATCAGTTCCCTCAGAGCCTAAGGGCAGCTGAAGACCTCCTCTGTGTTTTCAGTCACTAATGGTTACCACAAATTGCAGCAACCAGCCCAGTACAAACTTAGATGCAAACAACCACGATCCTAAGTGTTATGTATGCACTTAAATTAAAACTAGATTTAAGACTTCAACTGTGTAAATGAAATTTTCTTGAGCAGCAGACATCTGCAATACTGCAACTTTGTAGCTCTTACAGCAACTAATCAGATAAAAGGGGGAAAACATCTACTCAAGATAAACCCTGAAATTGAAGGCA